GCTGATGTATTTAGCCTTTTTCATTGGAAGATTTCAGGCCATACATATATATAATTTTTTTTCTTACCTTCTCCCCTCCCCTTTTCTTTTTTCTTTTCTTTGAACCAAGTTTGGCCTCTCTATCAGCGTGCAACTTCTGCCAGTACTGTTTTTCTGCATCACCTTAATATTTAGACCAGAGCTCAAATTACCACATTATACAGAGGTTGAACACAGCTGTTTATGATTTATATTAAAGCCAATAAGTAAACTGAATTTTTGCCAAGAAATTGGTTTGGATTTTACCTTTCCTTTTCACAGTACTGTATAAATGTTCACAATGAAACATTGTTATAATTCAAGACCCATTTCAAATACGATGAACGGAATTGGAAATCAAAAATAATTTTTCACTACCTGGCATCAGAAATTGTATTAACAGTATATATGTCATATGTTTCCCATTTAGTACCTGTAACTTTGGTGAACTTGACTCCATCACAACCAGCAGTCAGAAGTGACAGGGCACTGTCAGCATCATTACATCTTATCATCCCCTCCTTCTCCTCATCCCTGACATCTATATAGGCTATACTGGCTAGATCCCCGATCTTGTCCTACAAATACAGACAAGTGCAGCATTTAAATGGCACTGCACACAAGTGCACAGGTAAAATCTTTTTTTCTACACTACATACCAAAGCAGCCCAGTCATTTGAACTAGGTGTTTTATAATTTCCGTCACAGTTGCAAGCCTAACCAGTGTGTAATAAGACACTTAACTGCACTGCCGTTCAGTAGCATCCCCCCTTTCCACCTACAATTCCCAAAATTTGTTGCAAGAAAATTATTAATAGTTACTAACTCACATATTAGAAAGGCAACATTGTTTTACCAAGAAAACATAAATACCTTCAATGCCTTCCTTATGAGGGGTTGTCCTGCAGACACATGTACAAGGACTCCGGGCACAAAGTCTGGGGTCTTCTGGTTAGTGACCTGGGGTGCGGGTGGATCACAGGTGGCAGAGTTTGACACAAGCCTTAAACTACCTAAAATGATGGGAGCCATATGTCTAAGTATCTGGTTTAAGAAAACAAAGATTAAGCCAAGGATTTCTCAAACAAATTCAATGTAAAAAAAATTTAGTTTCTAGATAAAGTGAGCTTTCAAGTCAATTTGTATATCTTCCTTTTATTCTCACATGAGGATTCATCAAGAAGTTGTAAGAAGTAAGTCTTGTTTCTTTTTTTCTTTGAAAGATATCCATGTCATATACATTATACAACCAAACTGCTTGTATAAGAATAAGAAAAGACCGACATCACTAAATACCAAACATTTCCTGTTTAGTCACCTTTTAAATAATTCTTAAAGTTCATTACTATGAGTGCAATTCCACAAATATAAAAAACTTACCCCCATTCTCTGCATTCTCAGAATGCAGTCCCTTCAACTTCTCCTTCAACTTTGTCATATTGGCCTTTTGTATGGAAAGATATTCCTTCTTCAAAGCTAGCCAATCAAGCCTACAAAACAAAGTAAGTGGTTAACCCATTGTGCTACTATAATAATTGTTTTCTGTATTATGAAACTATACATAAATATCGATGTAAACAAATTACTGATTTATTAAGAAATTTACTTGGTGATTTTGTCATGACTGTCTTCTCATTTTTTGCCCTGTTAAAGACAAATAATTGGGTTATTAGTGGACAAACTTATTAATAAACATATAATTTAAATCCAAATCTCTACTGACTTTAAACATTATTATTATGCTTTGAAAAATAAAGAGAAATAAATAAGAGAAGAAAAATGACATTAAATACAGGCCAAGTTCATTCTAACACTAAAACAAGTCTTACTTTGAGAGAACCCTAAGCTGGGGAAAATCTGGTTTTTTGTCTCTTATCTTCTTGTGCCTGTTTCTCTTTTTGGTGCCTTCATCTTCTAAGTGGTGTTCTTGAGTAATACTTTCATCAATGCGGACTTTTTTTGAGGCATGGCTTTCCAATTCAGTCAATTCTTTTAATTTTCTTTTCTTCTTTCCAGTTTCAGTCTCTTTGGTTTTTTGATCAGTTAAACTTTCTACAGTTTGTTCAGCCTTAGTCACTGTGTCACAGTCAGTATTCTTTTCTAGAACTTCTGCTCTGTCATCTGTTGCAGACATTTTGAATTTTCCACCATGGACTGGAAGGTCAGATTCGCTATTCCTCCTTTTCCTTTTCTTACTACCAGGAAGACTTTCTATACTTTCATTAGAACATTCACTTGTCTGTCTCCGGCGTTTACTGCTTTTTCTTCCTTTTGTTTCTTTTCCTTCAGTAGAAGAACTTTCGCTTGTCAGGCGCAGGTGTTTTCCCTTTGGTTGCTGAGGATCTTCTGTTTCATCTGCTGAACTTTCCATACTTTTTCGTTGTTTGGTTTTCTTCGGGTTTTCATTGAATTTTTTCTTGCCTTTAGGACCATCATCTGTGCCTTCGCCAGAGGTGGATTCTACGGTTTGTCTCCGTTTCTTTTTACCTTGGGAGTCCTTTGTTTCTCCTAGAATATAGGATTATGAATTGCAATTCTAACATGAGTTTAGGTCCAAAGTATCATAATTTTGCCCTAACATGGCGCAAGAACGTGAATAACCTACCAAGAATAACTTCAAAAGTCAATGATTCAATACATAAGATTCAGATAACAGTTTTTGTCCTACCTTGTTTGACATGTTTCTGTAGCTGTTTTAATGTTTTATTAAACTTGGGGAACTTTCCTGGTTTCTCTGGTGCATCTGACGGAGGATTGTTAAGGAGCTAAACACAGTGAAAATAAAACCAAGTGTCAGATCACACATACTGTTACTTATGATGCTGAACAGCAAGATTAAATGCTGCAATGAAAAAGACTAAATTACTTTTAGTACCTAATACAACACAGTATGTATCAATCTTTTCAATGGGTAAATTTATCAATTCATAAAAAATCATATTCTGCATAGCATTTCTGGTGTTTTTTTTACTTTAAATAAAATTACAGGGTAGCCTGCTTTTCAATTTTGTTGCTACTTCTAAAATGGGAATGTTGTGATTTAAAGAATTTATGACTTGAAAAATTGAGTATCTGCAAATTTTACTAATTTCTGCATTGAAAAGATAGTCCTTATCGTATACCTACAATCCGGTTAAAGTAATCAACCCGCGGACTAACCTTGATAGCTTTATCTGCACCTTCCTGATGTGCAAACTCCACAAACGCAAACCCTTTATTGTCTTTTGTGCTCTTAAACTTTGGGAGACTCACATACGCCACTTCGCCACAAGGAATAAACACGTTTCTGATCCATTCATGATCAATGCCTTGGGGTAGACATTCCTATGACAAAGAAAAGAAAGAATGCAATAGTATTTATATAAAAGAAAAGTGTAAACAGTGTGATTTCACATTTGACTTTCATAGTTGCTATGTTCAAATGCTAAAAATGGCTGAAAATGAAAATTACATTTGAAATTGACACAAATAATAATATTCACAAAATATTTTTCCTTTTAAAATGTCATTTCATGCTGCTTTAAATTGTCTGTGCTTTTATGCATTAGATATCATACAGACCATTCAGAAAAGATTTACATGTCAGTTGACAAATATCCCACATAAATTTATATCATATGAGGGTTCCATCTAAATAATGAACTTTGGATTCTTGTGACAAATAACCAACTCTTTACCAAGTAAAGATTTGGAGAAAAATTTGTGAGTAAAATTTTGAGAATGATAAAATATCTTTCACTATCTTTTGTCAAACAAATTATCTCTAACTTTTGGCATTTCCTGCAGGCCTTGATGCTCCATCTTACCACATAAACTGTTCTGCTGTCAATATCTGCAGCATCTTGCAGTGGTCTGACTCTTTTCACCTTCAAGCCATCATCACTAACCTATTTTTTTTTCAAAAAAAAAAAAAAAAAAAAAAAAAAAAAACTTCACTTAGAAAGTGACATTCATCAGCCATAATGTTTTATATTTCAATGTTAACAAATTATCTATATTTCAATGTAAACAAATTATTCATAAGTCCTGTCTTAGCTATGAATTCCATTGTATCAATCTTATAATGGGCAAATCAATTTCTTATATCATGTTTTTGCTGTGTATATATCACTAAAATCTGAATGGCTTTTCCAGGGTGAATTACTCATCATAATGCTGCTTACCGCTAGTAATGTCGAAGAAGACAAACTTTTAGCAATTTCTGATACGTCTGTGGAAAGTGCCTTCATCTTGTTGAAATTTGTAAAAACTGACAATTCCACATCTGGAAATGAAAAGTTGAAACCATTTTCACATTCACTGATCTAGACAAAAGAAAAATAATGTGGTATCAGGAACTTAAATAAATCCTGGAATAACATTCTTAGGTGAAAGCTTTGACAAACAATTATGGAATTCTTTTCCTCCAATGACAAAATACTCAAAACTCTGAAACACTGAAATCAGATGGTCAAATATGAACTGAATGTATGATAAAAACTGAACTNTACTGATGTATTTAGCCTTTTTCATTGGAAGATTTCAGGCCATACATATATATAATTTTTTTTCTTACCTTCTCGGCTCCCCTTTTCTTTTTTCTTTTCTTTGAATCAAGTTTGGCCTCTCTATCAGCGTGCAACTTCTGCCAGTACTGTTTTTCTGCATCACCTTAATATTTAGACCAGAGCTCAAATTACCACATTATACAGAGGTTGAACACAGCTGTTTATGATTTATATTAAAGCCAATAAGTAAACTGAATTTTTGCCAAGAAATTGGTTTGGATTTTACCTTTCCTTTTCACAGTACTGTATAAATGTTCACAATGTAACATTGTTATAATTCAAGACCCATTTCACATACGATGAACGGAATTGGAATTTTCACTACCTGGCATCAGAAATTGTACTAACAGTATCTATGTCATAAGTTTCCCGTTTCGTACCTGTAACTTTGGTAAACTTGACTCCATCACAACCAGCAGTCAGAAGTGACAGGGCACTGTCAGCATCATTACATCTTATCATCCCCTCCTTCTCCTCATCCCTGACATCTATATAGGCTATACTGGCCAGATCCCCTATCTTGTCCTACAAATACAGACAAGTGCAGCATTTAAATGGCACTGCACACAAGTGAACAGGTAAAATCTTTTTTTCTACACTACATAACAAAGCAGCCCAGTCATTTGAACTAGGTGTTTTATAATTTCCTTCACAGTTGCAACCCTAACCAGTGTGTAATAAGACACTTAACTGCACTGCCGTTCAGTAGCATCCCCCCCTTTCCACAGTACAATTCCCAAAATTTGTTGCAAGAAAATTATTAATAGTTACTAACTCACATATTAGAAAGGCAACATTGTTTTACCAAGAAAACATAAATACCTTCAATGCCTTCCTTATGAGGGGTTGTCCTGCAGACACATGTACAAGGACTCCGGGCACAAAGTCTGGGGTCTTCTGGTTAGTGACCTGGGGTGCGGGTGGATCACAGGTGGCAGAGTTTGACACAAGCCTTAAACTACCTAAAATGATGGGAGTCATATGTCTAAGAATCTGGTTTAAGACAACAAAATTAAGGCAAGGATTTCTCAAAACAAATCAATGAAAAAAAAAGTTAGTAAAATGAGCTCTCAGACAAGTCAATTTCCTTTTATTTTCACGTGGATCTAATGAGTCATCAAGAAGTTAGAAGAAGTAAGTCTTGATTTTTTTCTTCCTATGAAAGATATTTATGTTGTATATATTGTACAATAGAACAGCTGGTATCAGAGTAAGAAAAGACTGACATCACTAAACACCAAATGTAACCCATTTACTCATCTTTTAAAATAATTCTTAAATTTCACTGCTATGTGTGTAAATTGACAAAGAAATAAAAAAAAACTTACTTCCATTCTCTGCATTCTCAGAATGCAGCCCCTTCAACTTCTCCTTCAACTTTGTCATATTGGCCTTTTGTATGGAAAGGTATTCCTTCTTCAAAGCTAGCCAATCAAGCCTACAAAACAAAGTTAGTGGTTAACCCAATGTGCTACTATAATTATTGTTTTCTGTACTATGAAACTGTACACTGATATCGATGTAAACAAATTATTGATTTATTAAGAAATTTACTTAGTGATTTTGTCATGACTGTCTTCTCATTTTTGCCCTGTTAAAGACAAATAATTGGGATATTAGTGGACAAACTTATTAATAAACAAATAATTTAAATACAAATCTCTACTGACTTTAAACATTATTATTATGCTTTGAAAAATAAAAAGAGAAATAAATAAGAGAAAAAAAAATGACATTAAATACAGGCCAAGTTCATTCTAACACTAAAACAAGTCTTACTTTGAGAGAACTCTAAGCTGGGGAAAATCTGGTTTTTTGTCTCTTATCTTCTTGTGCCTGTTTCTCTTTTTGGTGCCTTCATCTTCTAAGTGGTGTTCTTGAGTAATACTTTCATCAATGCGGACTTTTTTTGAGGCATGGCTTTCCAATTCAGTCAATTCTTTTAATTTTCTTCTCTTCTTTCCAGTTTCAGTCTCTTTGGCTTTTTGATCAGTTAAACTTTCTACATTTTGTTCAGCCTTAGTCACTGTGTCAGTATTCTTTTCAAGAACTTCTGCTCTGTCATCTGTTGCAGACATTTTTGATTTTCCACCATGGACTGGAAGGTCAGATTCGCTATTCCTCCTTTTCCTTTTCTTACTACCAGGAAGACTTTCTATACTTTCATTAGAACATTCACTTGTCTGTCTACGACGTTTACTGTTTTTTCGTCCTTTTGTTTCTTTTCCTTCAGTAGAAGAACTTTCACTTGTCAGGCGCAGGTGTTTTCCCTTTGGTTGCTGAGGATCTTCTGTTTCATCTGCTGAACTTTCCATACTTTTTCGTTGTTTGGTTTTCTTCGGGTTTTCATTAAATTTTTTCTTGCTTTTAGAACCATCATCTGTGCCTTCGCCAGAGGTGGATTCTACTGTCTGTCTCCGTTTCTTTTTACCTTGGGAGTCCTTTGTTTCTCCTAGAATATAGGATTATGAATTGCAATTCTAACATGAGTTTAGGTCCAAAGTATCATAATTTTGCCCTACCATGGTGGCGAGAAAGTGAATAAACCTACCAGGAATAACTTCAAAAATCAATGATTCAATATATATGATTCAGATAACTGTTTTTGTCCTACCTTGTTTGACATGTTTCTGTAGCTGTTTTAATGTTTTATTAAACTTGGGGAACTTTCCTGGTTTCTCTGGTGCATCTGATGGAGGATTGTTGAGTAGCTAAACACAGTGAAGAGAAAACTAAGTGTCAGATCACACAAACTATTACTTATGATGCTGAAGAGCATGATTAAATGCTCCAATAAAAAAGACTGTAAATGACTTCTTAGTAAAGTAATACATCAAAGTATGTATCAATCTTTTCAATGAGGAAGTTCATCAGTTTATTAAAAATTATGTTCTGCATAGCATTTTTGGTGTTTTTACTTTATAAAATAAAAGTATAAGGTAGCCTGATTTTCACTTTTGTTGCTTCCTCTAAATGGGAATCTTGAAATGTAAAGAATTTATGAATTAGAATAACCTTGATAGCTTTTTCTGCACCTTCCTGATGAGCAAACTCCACAAACGCAAATCCTTTATTGTCTTTTGTGCTCTTAAACTTGGGGAGACTCACATACGCCACTTCACCACAAGGAATAAACACGTTTCTGATCCATTCATGATCAATGCCTTGGGGTAGACATTCCTATGACAAAAAAAAGAAAGAATGCAATAGTATTTATATAAAAGAAAAGTGTAAACAGTGTGATTTCACATTTGACTTTCATATTTGCTATGTTCAAATGCTAAAAAAGGCTGGAAATAAAAATTACGTTTGAAATTGACGCAAATAATAATATTTACAAAATATTTTTCCTTTTAAAATGTCATTTCATGCTGCTTTAAATTGTCTGTGCTTTTAAGCATTAGATATCACACAGACCATTCAGAAAAGATTTACATGTCAGTTGACAAATATCCCTAATAAATTTATATCATATGAGGGTTCCATCTAAATAATGAACTTTGGATTCTGTGACAAATAACCAACTCTTTACCAAGTAAAGATTTGGAGAAAAATTTGTAAGTAAAATTTGGAGAATGATTAAATATCTTTCACTATCTTTTGTCAAACAAATAATCCCTAATTTTTGGCATTTCCTGCAGGCCTTGATGCTCCATCTTACCACATAAACTGTTCTGCTGTCAATATCTGCAGCATCTTGCAGTGGTCGGACTCTTTTCACCTTCAAGCCATCATCACTAACCTGTTTTTTTTTTCAAACAAGGAAAAAATTCACATAGAAAATGGCATTCATCAGCAATAATTGTTTTATATTTCAATGTGAACAAATTATTTATAAATCCTGCCTTAGCTATGGATTCCATTGTATCAATCTTATTATAGGCAAATCAATTTCTTATATCATGTTTTTGCTGTTTATATATCACTAAAATCTGAATGGCTTTTCCAGGGTGAATTACTCATCACAGAGCTGCTTACCGCTAGTAATGTCGATGAAGACAAACTTTTAGCAATTTCTGATATGTCTGTGGAAAGTGCCTTCATCTTGTTGAAATTTGTAAAAACTGACAATTCCACATCTGGAAATGAAAAGTTGAAACCATTTTCACACTCACTGATCTAGACAAAAGAAAAATAATGTGGTATCAGGAACTTAAATAAATCCTGGAATAACATTCTTAGGTGAAAGCTTTGACAAACAATTATGGAATTCTTTTCCTCCAATGACAAAATACTTAAAACTCTGAAACACTGAAATCAGATGGTCAAATATGAACTGAATGTATGATAAAAACTGAAAAAGTCTAACTAATATATTTAATACTTACATGAATCTGGTGTATCATCTATGAGTTTCTTCAAGTACCTGTCTTTCAAAAGATTTGAATCACTAAAATAAAACTCCATCTGAAAATAACCACAATGATATAAATCGTGTGTAAAGGACATCTAGGAAATTATTTCACATCTGAGATTATATTTCTAGGATTTTATAGACACGCACACTTGCTTAAAAGCTCGGGTTCTGTAAAGTGCAGACTGGGATTAAAAAATAAAACTTGGATAATATCAGGCAGCAGTATCATAGAAAGGAATGGTGTAATTTCAACAGTTATACACTACCTGTGATCTTATCTGTTTGTACAGCTGCTTTTTCCGCCTCCTTACATGCTTGTTCTGGATTGGCTGATCATCCTTGGTCTCCATCTCAACAAACCTAAATGACAACAGTGGGGTATAAAAAGTTACTGTTTGAGCCCTTAATACGCATACCTAGAAGTCTATATCGGTCCATCCAGTCTATCCATTTCTTCCTTTAAAAGGACCCCTAATTTGGCGATAAAACACAATTAAATCATGCTGGATGCCGAAACTGACATTGAACTTTATTCACATAGCAGGCCGATATATTTTACATTAAAAGCATGCTAATCAGAACTGGATAGCTACTGAGTTCACCTCTAAGTTGGACTTCAGCAGGAGGTCTATTACAGATTTCTAGTAGATATCAATAAGAGTGCTAAACGCAGGAATTTCGGGTACTTTTATTGCCTCAGTTTTCGACCTTACAAGCTCACGGCACCCTTACCAGCGGTAAGGGTACCGTGAGTGAGGCCGAAAACTGAGGCAAGCACTTTTACACCCCCCACCCCGTAATATATTTGCCTGATTGAAATTAAACTAACTCATCTTATTCTGTAACAGTGGTGTAAAATAAGATCAACATCAGTACAACATACTAAAAGCTTACTTACACGCCGAATATCTACTTTTTAAAACTATAATAACAAAGAGTTGAGGAACCTGAGGAAACCCGCTTTGAGTGGGGAGTTAACTTACAACCGATGTTGCACAATCACCTTTTCCACGTTCAGATACTTTACTTATTTGATGATTATGAAATAATCCAGAGGTTACTCAATTGATCAATTACATTTTTTATTTTATGGTCAGAACCACTGCTCTATTTTCCTCTTGCGGAGTGTTATAACCTAGTCGTGTGGCGTGTCTTGAACATAGTGCCCTCTTTCGACTTCCTTGTGAAAGTCAAATGCAATGATTTGAGGCTGTGACTGTGTTATTAGTGTGATTATATTATGATGAGATAAAGTCGTTAGTTCTCCGTTTTACGTGCACTCGACCCTTTGGTCATGATATGAAGTGGATCCAACACGTATTTGAATGTTTCAGATTCATCTTTTGAATTGCTTCGATCAACACCCAACACTTTAAAGTTTGACCGGGTAGGTACATATAACTTTTTCGGTACTTTTGTAGTATACACCCCCCCCCCCCCCTGTAACTTCCTGTAATTTCCACTTTCAAAACAGTTTTTTACATTCTCTTGTTCATCTATGTCAAAGCTGTTGAAATAAAACGCTTTTGTAATTACCTGTGGTCTTTTTATGTACAGACACAGATGTGTCTGTACATATTGCCATCACCTGCGTCTGTCGTCGCCGATGCCGTCGCCGATGCCGATGCCGATGCCGTCGCCGATGCCGTGCACTTTCCTTGTAAACACGATAAGTGGAGGACAGTTTTACTTTTTGGCTTTATATTTACAGAGCTGATGAATATTCATAAAACGCAGGTCAAGTTCGAAAATCAGCATGATCGGGCCATTATTGTAGAACTTATGCTG